CAGCTCAATTCATGTCTAAGCCATCCACCTTTATCTACTAAAACGCTGTCAAACCTAAAATGAGGACGTGGGCCCAGCTGGTGAATCGAACTTTAATGTCACAACTAACCCTAGAACAACCAATGACCTGGAGGATGTTTAGAGATGAGTGTGTTAACACTGAGATTTTCTCACAATATCTACAGAAAGACATTCACAGAACTGACAAACAACATTACAGTTCCTGCATACGAGAAATCTAAAGTCCTCATAAAATCTGACACAAACACACATCTCCAGTGTTAAATTGACACTAGAAAGTGTCTATATGTGTCCACTCTTTTGAGTGCTAAATTAATACTTTTGACAGTGTTATATTTCTAACAGTAACCTAGTCAATGTTAAAGATTAACAATGACTAACACTGAGCAGTGCTGATTTTCTAACCCAACTGCAAATATGACCTGCAAAAAAATGCTAATCATGTCATAATCTCACTACGTGTACATAGAGGTCTTAGTTGAGCCATTAGCATGTTAGCATGCTGTTGGCAAGTTTAAACAATATTTTAGTCCAAAGAAGTTCTGTTTGATTGTTTTGTAATTGATGTGCAGTTTTCTGGGATCTGGACAGTGAATCTGGACAATAAGAAATGTGATGAGAGCACTCAGTCAAAATGATATCTGTATCATCATTTAATCTGATTGATTAAAAAACACATTTCGCATTTAGATTACTTCAGACCAACAAATATACTGGTGTTATTTAAACCAAGCTAAGATCACTTAGTCCTGGAGGAGCAAGGAATGTGGAGGAGGCTTTGAAAAAGTGACTCACAGGCAGTAAGCGATGTGCATGTCCTGGGCAGGCTTAGCACACGTCTCTGTTAGGAGGAAAAACATGGCTCCGAACATTTAAACCATCTATGTTCTTTCACTGGAATACACTCCTGCATTTGTATAATTCAAAATGAAAAGTCCTTTAGAAACAGAAATCAAAAGCTAATTTGGCCCCATCTTCACGACAGTGTCAACTCGCTCTTTCTTTGCCTTCCAAACCTTTATATTTTTGAGACATTGTCATGATTCCTCTTCTCATCTCTCTTCCTCCGTCTCTCGCTCTCTCTCTCTCTCTCTCTCTCTCTCGGACAGCATGCTCTCTCATTACGCGCCACTGAACAACCCATCTATTAGACAGCGCATGACTGATAAAATCCTTTGCAGATCCCATGATATGAAAAAACGCACACACAGGCATGCTCTGCATAACACTCCACTTGTCTCGGATGACCAACTAGACACTGTGCCATTACATAAGATATTGCAATTTAGCTTTTTTTTTGCCTTTGTGCATGTAAAAACAAAATTTTTCAGGGTGTCAGAGTCAAGTGTTTTTTTAGGAAAGATACAAAACATTCATCTCTTGCCAAAATGGATAAGATAATTAATGTTTTCTTATTACTTGGATTTTGCATACTGCTGTTCACATATGTAACATGTACAAGATAAATCCAGCATTCATGACAGTTTTTCATTTGAGTGTATTAGGCTAGGTCCAAAACGCAGATTTTTCTATGCGTTTGCACCTTTCATCCACACGTAAACGGCGTTTTTGGTCACTGAAAACGGAGATTCCTAAAAACGCCTGCCAGGGTGGATATTTTCCAAAACTCAGTTTTTGCATTTACGTGTGGACGAGGAAAACGGAGAAAACGCAGCGTCAAAGGTGTGCGCCTTTTTTGATGTCACACTGTTACACACAATACTGTTACTGTTAATTGTTCTCTCTGCAGAGTTTAAATGCTTACATATACACACACAGTTACTGTCCCTCCACACATACGACTCGGTTCTGCTTCTATGCCCCAGCTTTGTTTACTTTTTCCCACCGAGGCTTCTAGACTTCTGATTGGCCAACATTTCTACACGGTTAGGAATATAGCGCCACCTGCTGCTTTGGCATGTTCCTAGCAGCGTTTTCCTTCATTTCTGCCTTTACGTGTGGACGGGATTATTTTTTAAAACGAAAACGGAAAATCTCCGTTTTCAAAAATACCCGCGTACGTGTGGACGTAGCCTAAGTTAGTGTTGGGGATTAATCAAACTTTGAAGGCATTAGCTTTTGTTTCCTCTCTGTCTCGTTGTTTCTGATCAGCCCCAGCTGTGTTTCCCTCCTGTTTCCTGTCCCTGTGTGTATTTAGTTCTTCTCCTCCGTGTGTTGTTGGCGTATCTGCCTGTCTTCCCTTGTGTTTCCAAGTTTCAAGTTTTCCAGTCTTTGTGTTTTCATCGATATATCTAGTGTTTTGGTGTTTCTGCTTTTGTTTTGTTAGTTTAGTTTAGTTTATCTCCTTGCCTTTTGTTTATAGTTGTGTGTAGCCCTGAATAAAGGCTTGTTTTTTGTTAATATTCACATCCATCGCTCTCATCTCCACACACAGCTCATCTTTACCTCTGAGAATCGCTTTCCTGTCTAATATGTGTTTCTTAACTTAACCATGTTACTGACCTGCTCCAATTCATCTATTTAGTTGCAGAATTTTCCACAATATTTCTTTTTTAGTATAGCTTATTTTTCCAGCCTCTTTTTGCAACGATCTGTGAATAGACTTAAGTTCACACAGTCAGTTACAGAGTAACAGACTGGGTCAACCTAACAGACTCTGTGATACCAAAACCTAGAGTTTTTCTCTGACCTCCCTCCTGCTACACCTGAACCTTTGACTGACACTTGGATTCATTTCCTCATTCATAAAGTCCCCAATTTCAATTACTTTTATATTTTGCGTACTTGACGTGAACATTTTTACAGTCACCAGTGTAAAAGGACTGCAGACAGCAATAACATCACAGATTTATAGTCAGCTCTGAATTAAATTTATAGTCCACGCATTGACACTGTGGACAACAACACTGCCAATGCAAACATTTACTGTATGTTACACACTGATCAATGATCAATCATTTGTCGAAAAAGGTGTGTCACAGTTGGAGCTGGGGGTGGATGTGAGTATTTGAGTGAAGATGAGGGTGAAATAACTTTAGAACTCTGATGTTGAACTAAATGTGTTTTAAATGATGTTTTAAATGCAGCCCGCAGACAGTCAGTTTCTGAACATTTTATATTAAAATGTGTTCATGTGTTCATAACATGTTGGAAATTCAGAGTGTGACCCTTGACATATTTTCCACTGAAAATCACCCAAATCAGTCTCAATGGGTCAACCCAGAAGATATGACAGGCCCTGTAACAGCTCAGTGTCCATACCCACTTGCATCCGGTTTCCGTTTCACGTTAGGGTAGGCAGGGTACCAAACTACTGTATGAGGCAGAGTCCCTTTTTGAAAACTTAAAAACATATTGTTTAGCCTTTTTAAAAAGTACAAGGCGATTCAGTGCATACTTACTTACATTCTTATTGTACTGTATAGTGTGTGATAGTGTGTTAGTGATATAAAATGGAAATATGCATGTTCAAGATGATATTACATTAGTAAAGTTACTTGGTTCATTTTTCAGTGTACTCATATTCAGTAAATAAAATAGCTTGTTTATTATTAATGCATTTAAAGGATTATTTTCTGCATCTGACATAAACACATGATCTTGCTTAGAGTATGTTTACACAATGATTAACCTATACAGTATACAGTGTACGTGTTGCACGTGTTTTATGGTAACCTGAACCTGAAAAAAATACAAACAAAAAAACAAACTTACCATTGGCTACGTTGGTGCACCCTTAAATTGCGAAGATCTGGTCTCATCTTCCCGCTATCCTGCTCCCTCCATATCCATGTAGAAGATCGATGTACAAACAGTGAGGTGAGTTTGCTGTAATCCAGGTGTAGTTAAGGGTGTTACGATTACAGGAATTTCTCAAGCCGGCTCCTCCTTCAGCTTGGCGGACGCTCCGGGCACAGCGCTGCCCTGCAGCGGCATCGTTCACGTCAAGACTCCATCTGCGAGGCGGAGCAGATCAGAGACAAGATTCATCTGCCTTTACATCTTTTTGTAACCACGAATGTTGGCGGTGAGATGTAAGACGATCATGAAAACAGTTGAGTTTTTTTTTTTAAATATGTAATGATTATTTAAATAAATAATGATGAATCTTAAAGCAGCAATGGCACTGGCGGCACATATTATAAAGAGGCACTAATACAGCGTCCTATTTTTTTCTTCTGCCTAAAAACGTGGCGATTACAATGACGGGACTGTACGTGTTTGCGTGCATGCGTGCTCATGCTGTGATTATTCATACACAATTTATTTGTTACCACAGCCGAAGCCTTCCATGCACATAAAAAAGCAAAAACAAAAAACAGATAAGATGTAATATTTGAGGTGGTTATTTGATGAAAAGAAAATACCGGGTTTACCTGCAGTATTATCTTCTCCGCTGAGCTGGGCAGAATCGAGACCCTCCACAATCCAGGTCACTGAAGATAGCGGTTCGGCTCCATTCGCCTGCAACGATGCGCCGCATGTGACGTGGAGAGCCTAGGCGGGGAAGAGCCGGTGAAAAAACAAAAGTGCAGGCGGAGGAAGACGTTATGGTGTTATCATCCAAAAACTCATAATCAACAGCTTCCGATACAGCTATGGTAACG